AAACTTTGATTTTTATACTAAATAATTATCTATGTTCGAAAACTAAACATTTATAGCAAATTATTGATACAATATTATATGTAAAAGAAAGAGATTGTTTAATAAAAATTTGTATATGAATCATTGAATTGACATAATCATTGTATATTATGTAAGTTAATGAAAATGTAAAGTAAAGTTAATATATATGTTTGGTCTTCTTTATTCTTGTATCAAACACATTTGTAAAAAAAAAAACATTATTGATCCGACAAGTTGTAGTACATTTGGCGCCTCTATCAAAACATATGTATCATCTCAACAGAGATGTTAGAACTTATCTCTATTTATATTTCATTAGAACTTTTAATCGTAAAAAGAGAATAATTATTGCTTGATTGTAATTTTGTCTCTCTTTTGATCGTTTTGATGTGATTTTTATCTTTCACATCAACRCATTGGTGAATTGCATTATGTTTTCTCGTCGTGATTACAGTTTGGAAGGAATTAAAAAAATAAAAAAGAGTTTTTATGGAATCACAATTTGTGGTGGAGTAGGTTTTTCTTTCAAAAGTCTTGGTTAATACTTTCTCTAGTAGAAATTTTTTTAATTGCACTAATTGTTTTTTATGTGTTATTAAGTTTTTTTTGGTGTAGTATATTGTTGGGTTTTAATTTAATAATTGCAAAATTTTTTTTTTATGTGCTATTAAATTTTGTTGGTGTGGTATATTGTTTGGTTCAATAAATAAAATATATATTTTCCAAACCGTTTAAAATTTTACAATAACACATTTGATTTGGAATCATATTTTTATGGCTACCAAAAAAAAGAAAGAAAACAATAGCTAATTTATATTACAACTTATTGGAATTAATTAACATTAGAATTAGTTATTAAATTGTTGGAATTATTGTCAAGTTATTAGAAAGAGAAAAATAGATATGAATTTTTATTTTTCTCTTAAATAAATAAATTAATAAAAACACATGTCAAAAGAGTAGGTGACATATGGCAGCCTCTCATAACTTTGGTTTAAAAAACTTTACTATATTATATTAGATATCTAGCTGTCTTGGGCCATTTGAAGAAAACTATGATTTCCATAAAATTTAATATATTGGGCTCAAAATCATAATCCAAACAAAATCCCAGAATTTATTTTGGTTACATGTTCACTATCAAATTCTACTATG